TAGAGAACCGGAGACCCTTTTTACTGGCAAAGAGGCATTCCATCTTAGTCCTCACGGGTGACAACGCATCTGCATTTGGAGTCTTTATTGAGGATAGATGTAGATGTCTATGGATCACAGCAACCACTTACCATCAGGAGGACTGTGTGCTCATCTGTCACTCTATCCTATAAAAAAGGTGTCCACGGACTGCAGGTTCCATTTACTTATCAGATGGACTATAAAATTGTTCATTTGATATTTGAGTTTAAAAATAAAAGCAGTAGTATTTTATGCACACCGAATACCCCACTGCGATGCATACTCGTCACTGACCTCTACACGACATCTGCAGAGCCCGTTTGGATTTAAATTATTGTTACGAACTGAATAGATAATATTATTAAATCGTGTGCTGCTTCTCTCGTTCTAATTTAGGCATTAAACGAATTATATTATGCAATTCAAAATCCGTCCACTTTAAAAAAGTCAATGACGGATTTTTATTATTGAATATATTTCGTTTTTATTTTCGGTTTTAAGTACTCTGTGAGATCGATCTAAATAATTTAAAAAATTAACAAGTTCACACTTATAAATTCTCGTGTATTATAGCGACGTTTTACGTTCATAAATTGCGCAAGGATAAACAGCCAGACCCGAAAGATAAAAGAAATTTTCCACGCATATTGATAGGATTTTCTACGTGGTAGAGCCACGCAGTAACATATAATTTAAAATTAAAAATTTTGTACAACCGACTTCAATATAAATTATTAAGAATATATCAAAAACTATTGGTCAGACCTTGATCCAGTTTATATGGGACCACATGTGAAGCACCAGCTTCCAAATAACAAAAAGAATCATCTAAATCTGTTCGCCCAGTAAAAAGTTATGAGGAAACACATATAAAAAACATACAGTCGAATTGAGTACGGTCTCCTTTTTGAAGTCGGTAGAAAATAGGTCGCCTCGACCGAAAAAGGACCTCGCTCGCACAGAATAGCAGAATATAGTAAATGTAGAGAACACATACTTTGTACTGGTCAAGAGGCATTCTCTCTTAGTCCTCAGGAGTGACCTAGTAATACAATTTCTTTTAATCGAGGCTAGATGTTGGTGTCTATGGATCAGTTTACTGTTAGCATTGACTATGACTTCATTTTGTTTAGCTTATTCCATAGTAACTAGCTATGGAAATAGCTAAACAAAAATATAGACAAACGCGAGTGACACTGAAAATATATTTGTTTTACAGGAGAGGCACATAAGAGCAATCTACGATTTAAAAACTAAAGAGTATGAATATATTAACTGTGGTCTATCAATATATTTACGAAAACGTACACAAAAAAGTAGTTTTAAAAAATAAGCAATATTGTTTCTGTAAATACTAGGAACAGACAAGCTACTCGTAGCCAATTACTCGAAACCACGTAATTTATACACTTTTTCAACAAAACTCCTGTAAATATCGTAAATACGTGGTAGAGCCATGCTGAAGCTATATTAACAGTATAGTTTTAGCAAGAATGGGTCGGCTCGACTGGGGAAGGACCACGCTCTCACAGAATACCAGCGTAAAATAACAGCTTAATGCTGCTGTGTTTCGTATGGTGAGTGTGGAGAACCGGAGACCCTTTTTACTGGAAAAGAGGCATTCCATCTTAGTCCTATCAACGCATCTGCATTTTGATTCGCAAACGAGGATAGATGTAGATGTCTATGGGCCACAGCAACCACTTACCATCAGGTCGACTGTGTGCTCGTTTTTCACCCTTTCCTATAAAAAAAATTGTCTACTGCTAAATTCAATAACTATATTAAACAAAGATTGTATATAGGAAATTATTACAATATCAAGGAATTTACACCCGGGAATGAGGTGATCACTACCAAGCTATTTCTAATATGATTTGTGTAGTTAATTGTGTAACATAATATATGATTATAAATTAGTCTTTTTTCAAAAAACTTACCGCTAGGTTACTTGATGATTCCTCCCAGGACAGACGTATTTTCCGAATCAGTCGTAAATTTCACATAACAATAACTTTCAATAACTGTTATTTATAATCTATATTAAATAAAAAATACTATTTCTATTTCATCAGGAGGACTGTATGCTCGTTTGTCCTTCTCTTTCTATGAAAAAAATAGTGTTGTTTTGAGATACATTGTTTTTCGTACTAGGCAAATTAAAAAACTGCGGAAGGAGCACTAAGCGCGTTGGTGGCTTAAATAAACAGATTTAGAAGTGCAAAATTATAACTAACACGTTTTTTGACCATTGTATTTTATTATACATCCTATTGTGCAATTCGTTCACATCATTTCAACGAAGTTTCGTCGGATCGATCCGGAAGCGCAGTAGCTTAGCGCTTGTTTCAAACTTACGGCACACTGGGGCCGTAAATTTGAATCCATAATTGCTTGTATGGTCCACAAATAATTGCTCCCGATCTGAATGTTTGTCCATTTTAAATTTATATATGTCAAAGATTTTTACATCCTTAGGTGTTGAAACCTTTGGGTTGAATCTCTCTCTGATCATTTTAAATTGATTCACCATTGAAGAAGATATTGTGAAGCATACACATAAAAAATAGTCGAATCGGGTAATCAAAAAGAGTTCTTTAAAGTAGACTCATAAAAAGGAATTTATATCAAAATTGTGTATAAAACCCAAATAAAAGGTCTACGTAAGATGTACAGGAGATGTACATAAGATGTTTTGCATTTGAAGAAATCACAAGAAGTGACTTTTTTCGATACATATAAAGACTCTTAAATCACTTGGATGTGGGACTAAACTTAGAAATACGAGCAACGTTAACAATTATAGGATGTCTAAAAAATATGAAGTATGGGATATGACATTTTTATAAGAATAGATATTTTAAATATTTTTTTCTTATTTTTGGTATACCACGTGGTAAAAAAAAACATCTTGAAGAAAACTTAATGTCTGAGAAATTAAAACATAAGTATTTCGAGAACATGTGAAGGTTGTCAACATGCATTGAACAGCGCGCTAACTCTACCTTGTCAATATAGGTTGTAATTTTCCTTTACTTATACCTTATAAACAAATACAGATCGTAGACCTATCTATCCCTTGGAATATATTAGCAATACAAAAATAATAAAATACGTATTCTCAGGGGAATCCCCTTACATAGTAGAATTCTTCAAAAGAAGCAAGAAAAGCTTGAATCCAATAACTGTTCATTTTCATATAACCTATACGCGATTGTATTAGATATATATTATACACGTTATTGACACTGCAAAGTTATTGACGTATAGTAAAATATCCATGACATAAAATATAGTATGACAAACGTTCAATATATTGATTTTATGATGTTTAAAATTGACTGATTTTACAATTCAAATTTCACATAATGCCTAACACTAACACATTACCATGGAAGAACTGATGTGTTTGACGTCCTAATGCAAATTTAATTTGGTGATTTTAAATATTAAAAATTGAATGAGACCTACGCTAGAAGAACCTATAAAAAATGTTGAATTCTTGCTATAAATCGTTCTACTTGAATTTAGTCTTTGATAATTTATTTTTAAATTTTAATGCGATCTACACTAGAAGAAACTACAACATCTTCGATTCGTGTTGTAAATTATTCTATTCGAATTGAACCACTACACGGTGCTGTTAATTGTAGTTGAATTCAGCCTTTGAATTTAGTTTTGTTAAACCGTACAGTGGCGGTGTAAGAATATCAACTACCTCATATCGTCTCACGGGTCTCATAAAAGGTGACAGAGGGGAAAAAATCTGGAGTTGGGTAGCAGCGTCTTCCTAATAACAATTAAATAATAATAAACTGCGGTTGCCGACCCACCTGGCAAGTGCGGCAACTATGGTAAGATCTTGCCTATGAGGCAATCAACGCAAGCGGCCTGTATATGTTCAGAAGTAGACTTTTGATTTTTTTATAGGAATGGGTGACAAACGAGCACACAGTCCACCTGATGGTAAGTGGTTGCTGTGGTCCATAGACATCTACATTTATCCTCGTTTGCGAATCAAAATGCAGATGCGTTGTCAGCCGTGAGGACTAAGATGGAATGCCTCTTTTCCAGTAAAAAGGGTCTCCGGTTCTCTACACTCACCATACGAAACACAGCAGTGTTAAGCTGCTATTTTACGCTGGTATTCTGTGACCGCGTGGTCCCACCCCGGTCGAGCCGACCCATTCGTGCTACAACTATACCAGTAATATAGCTGCAGCATGGCTGTACTAGCTTAGAATGGTTAAATAACCTTTATTTCAGACGCAAACACAAACTCTAGTAGAAATAAGTCAAGCGTGTTTTTGATCTTTCATGGTTATGTTTTGTTGTGCATAAAGAGTAATATTTCTATCTGTCTGTCTTCTTTAGCAGCCTGACATTCTTTGCTTTACACAAGCCTTCCCCAAAGACTGTAACAAAGTACTAGACTCGACTTTCTGTGGCTTTGGTTGGCCACCCATTTACATGTTTGTATCATCTTTTTATCATAATAATTTTTATTAATATAACCGATAATAAAGTGGCAAAAATATTTGTTTCTAATTAGGCGATTAAAAGAACAATTATTTTTTAAGGATACCACCGATTATCCTATCGCTATTTATCGCATTGCGAAAAATAATTTATAAAAAACTCGGACTAAAGCTATTGTTGTTCAGGTATAATATGAAACAGTTTTTGTTAATTCGTGAATAGCAATTTACCTTAATGTCACAATTATGAATCATGTCCAATGATTAATTAGTAAAAAATGATAGAATCGGACGATAACAAAGCTTCTTATGAGAAAATATTATAAAACAATTCAATTGCCATCCAACGAAGGTCCTTCTGGCCTTAAGACGATCAATGCTAATTATAGGAAAGTATTTTAACGATTGACTCACAAATAAATATATTTTAATAAGTTTTTTTTTTAATTATTTGGCGAGTCTAATAAGCACATGACATTTTTTTTAATTACACTAACTTACCTATCAAAAATTCACAGCTCCTTTGAAAGCACTAAAATTAAATTAAATAATGGCACAAAACACAGCACTTTATAAAAACACCGATTTGTATTTCGAATGATGAAATTGGCGGCCGCGCGTGCGAAGACAGCGCAGGCTTGCTTAACACTGAACTTGAGGAATGCTCTTGCGCAGTTCCAAGCCTGCTTGCCTTCACGCACCATAAGCAAAAATAATCTTTAACTATATGAGGAACAAGTTTATAGTGATTTGAATGAACGTCACTGTCAAGTAAGGGATCAAGTTGATTGGTGACGCCTAATTAAACTAACTGTTGGATAGTCCATTAGCAAACTCCGTAAAACCGACCAGAACTTGCATATTGCAATAGTCTCATTATTTGATTGCATACAACTTACGAAAACAACACTTATTTGGTTTTCCAATGAGGGCTAGTAATTTTCTGCTCACCAGATGTCGCTACTTGACACTGAAGTAAAGTTTAGTTTTCTGCCGACTTCCAAAAAGGAGCCGGTACTCAATTCTACTGTATGTTTTTTTTTCGTTTTTTTTTATGTGTGTTACCTCAGAACTTTTTCTGGGTGAACCGATTTCGATGATTCTTTTTTTATTTGAAAACTGGTACTTCTCGTGTGGTCCCATATGAATTTGATCAAGGTCAGACCAATAGTTTTTAAGTTATTCTTAAATAACTTATATTGAAGTCGGCTGTACAAAATTTTTAATTTTAAATTATTACACAATGTAGTTTAATTGAGAAGTAGTTTTTTCAATCAATGTTTATCCATTTCTAGAGTATCATATTAATACACAAAACAATGCGTCAATCGTTTGCTCTTAAACTTTTTGCACTTTTTCAACTTTTTTTTATTTTTTAACTTTTATGAATATCTGTTTTGTTTATTTATTATTTAATGTTATTAATATCAAATATAGTTAATAGTGCAGAAAGAAATAATAATCTTTACATTTTCCGAACAAATTTACTTCCCCGCTATGAAATATATGAAAGATTATACCTCACTTCCACCACCAGTGGAAGTGGTGTCAGTAGTAGTCAGTAGTGGCGCCACCCTGGTGGCAGAAAAAGTCGTAGATTAGATTAGATTAGATAGAGAAGCCCTCATTCAAGAATAACTATGAAAAAACTTTTGAAGCCAATTCAATTTTATACGTGCGGAGCTACACCGCTATATATTGTGCACACCACTAGATCGGCTGCATATTTTGTGCCCAACGTGTCAAACTAGCTAACAGTCACGAAATAGTAGTTGACTACTAGTCCCTGGAAACATACAGACAGCTTCAAACAAAGAAGACTACAGATGCGTTGTCACCTCTGAGGACTAAAATGAAAGGCCTCAATGATACTGACTCTCTATACCCTTCGGAGCGGAACACTGATTATACGGGGTAGAGCCATGCTATATTAGTAGTATAGTTGTGGCACGAATCGATCGGCTCGACCGGGGAAGGACCACGCTCTCACAGAACACTAGCGTAAAATAGCAGCTTTTCGTATGGTGGGTTAGTGTAGAGAACCGGAGACCCTTTTTACTGGAAAAGAGGCATATCATCTTAGTCCTCACGGGTGACAACGCATCTGCATCTTGATCCACAAACGAGGATAGATGTAGATGTGTATGAGCCACAGCAACCACTTACCATAAGGTGGACTGTGTGCTCGTTTGTCACCCTATCCTATAAAAAAAAACATAAGTCCAAGCACTGCTAAGTATGTCGGCAGAAATAGGTAAGAGGGTAGTACGTACCCAGACAGACTAGACAGAAAAAGAGTCCTATCATTAATGCATTCAATATTAGTCCTTAGGATAGGCGGCATTTGATTTTTAATTGAGAGACCTTCAGCTGAACCGTATGCTCATTTGTCACAATTACTTTTAAATAAACTCATTTTCACCTCCCTTATTTCAGGTATACCTCAAAACCTGAAAACAAGATTGTACAGCCAGTGCGTGTTGCCAGTGATGGCTTATGGATCTGAGACGTGGTCCGTCACTGCCGTATGAGGAAGCTCAAGGTCGCTCAGCGTGCTATGGAGAGGGCTATGCTCGGAGTTTCTCTGCGTGATAAACTTAGAAATGAGGATATCCGCAGTAGGAAATCCGCAGCAAATCTGCCCTGCTAAGGAGGAGGTTCAAGTCCATCTGTGGACTTCTACGGGCTCATGAAGAAGAATAATAAATCACTTATGTGTGACAGTCGATCACACCTCAATAAAATGTTTCTCAACATACGATGAATTTAAAAACCATTCATGAAAATAGAATAAGAAATTGTCACAGCATTGAAAATTCGCCATCTTGTTGCAGTGCTACATCGTCGCGACATAGAGAAACTGGAACAGGAGATGGACAGAAGCATCTTCCTGATAACATCTCAAAATAATTAACAAACTGCAATTACAACACTCCCGTAGATCGTGGCAACTATGGCAGATTTTTTTTATAGTGAAACGAGTATGCTAGGGCTAAATCTGAATGACAGGGTGAGAAATAGTGTGATAAGAGAAAAGTGTGGTTTGCAAGATGATGTTGTGACTAGAATTAAAAAAGGAATGCTTCGGTGGTTTGGTCACGTAGAAAGAATGAACGAGGAAAGAGTGACAAAGCAAATTTATGTTTCAGAAGTGAACGGCAAAGTTGTGAAGGGATGCCCTAGACGAAGATTTGTCGACCAAATCGGCGTTACATTGAAAACGGGCCAGATTAGGAGTACCCTTAACCGACGAGCGTGTATGCGTAGATATATGGATGTAAAGGAGGCGAGAGAGGTGTGTCAGGATCGCGCCAAATGGAAGACCGTAGTCTCTGCCTATCCCTCTGGGTGACAGGCGTGAGTGTTTGTGTTGTGTTTGTAAAACGAGCATGCGGCTCACCTGATGGTAAGTGACTATCACCGCCCATGAACAAATGCAATACCAGGGGAATTGCAGGTGAGTTGCCGGCCTTTTAAAAAGGAGTAGGCTCTTTACTTGAAGGTCCCTAAGTCTCCGGATAAATCGCTGGTGGTAATCGATTCCACAGGGAAGTTGTGTGAGGAAGAAAACGTCTTCTAAATCGCACAGTGGTGGACCGCCAATCATCCAGATGGTATGGCGATACCATCGCGAGTTTTGTCGCGATGTGCGATGGTGAAATAAATAGATTCCCACTGTAACGTAATGTATGAGAATTATAAGAGAAATATTCAGAAGTGGACTTTTGATAGGTTATAGTGATGTGTGGATAACATTGAAATGAAGCAAATAAAGAATTTGTTGTAAAAACCTAAACTCTACTACTACGTGAGTAGAGTCACGCTGTCGCTATATTATGGTTGTAGCACGAATGGGTTGACTCGACTGAGGAAGGACTCCGCTCTCACAGAATACCAGTATAAAATAGCAGCTTAAAACTGCTGTGCTTCATATAGTGAGTGTAGAGAACCAGAGACGTTTTTTACTGGAATCGAGGCATTCCATCTTAGTCCTCAGGGCTGACAACGCATCACCATTTTGATTTTTAATCGAGGAAAGTTTAGATATCTATTGGCATCCACTTGCCTTCAGGTGGACTGTGTATTCGACACTTGATTCTGTGGCCCACAGACATCTACATCTACGGGTATCTTCGATTAAGAATCAAATACCACCCTTTGCCACACTTATTTTAGTAAAATAAGTTTCCCGGCTTATAATATAGTGACTAAAATTCTAAGTAATATTTCCTCTATCACTCACCTCTCTCTTTCATAACAAATATTACAAAACAAAATCAAGGTCGTGCAGATGCATATAATTTTATTTCATACGTGACAACGACGCGATCCAATCGAGACAAACGCGACCTCAATAAAATGCTAATTAACCATTAACTTACATAGAACTTTACATGTTATGGAAGTGGCCTTAGAGTTCCTTCCTAAATTTTTACCCAAGTTGTTTTTTGTTTGTTTTTTTTGTATCTGTGTGCGTTGTAGTCTTTGCCTTACTGAGGTATTGTAGAAGTTTACAACTTGAAGTGGCCTTTGAGTTACTCACGGGTTTTTTACCCAAATTGCTGTTTTTGTATCAGTGTGCATTTTAGTCTTTCGTATTACTGCATTTGTATCTTTTTTTTGCGCCCAGATTCAAAGTAAAGGGCTACCCTCCGGGAAGCGGGGGAGGGAGGTGGTGAATGCTCTTAACATACAACACAGCCGGCTGCGTGGTTATGTGGCACTCACTATGAACCTAAGTGCCTACCCACTAAACACCACCTGGGACTGACTGTGGCCTGGAGGGCCTTTCTGCCGTATCGGAAGCGACCCCCTTAGGGAAAGGGAGCACAGGGCCATGTGCATCCAAATAGTCCCCGTTTTTATAGACGCCATATCGGATGACGCCACCCGGCGGTGAGTCCAAATACTTGCAGAAAGATTGCTTATTTCTGTACTTTACTAATCTTTCATGTACAATAAGTACATGAAAGACAAAATATATTTAATAATAAACGAAACTTTTTTAGGAATTTGAATAGCTTTTCGTGGAATATGTTAATAAATTCTTTATTTTTATTATAATGCATCCTACACACTATTTGCAAAGTTACCCCGATGAAGTGCTCGTCTCGACTCGAGCAACTTCGCGAAGAGCTCAGTCGCCTTGATTCGCCTGTACACCAATAACATTAATAACGTTCAAGAGGCTGCTGCTGTAGGTAATCGTCTGTGGTAATCGTCAATGTGCTAACTGGCATACGCCGAGTAATGTCGTGAGACGCTTCGTGTAACTTCGGAGCACCTCGTTAAGTTCTTTGACTAGGACACAAAAAACCGACAGCGATCGGCAGTCGCCCGAGGCGAAGCGAGGTTGCACGAAGTACCTCTCCCAACGTCGATCAACTTCGCGAGTAATGCAGAGGGGTCATAACTATGAATAGAATAGAATAGAATAGAATGGAATGATTTTTATTCAATATGGATTATTACATAATACTTATTGAAAGTCATTATTTTATTTACCACTGGTTCGGAAAATACCTCTGTCCTGGGAAGAACCAGCAAGAAACCCAGCAGGACTTTTTTTTTAAACATAATTTCACTTAACAATAATTTTGATTATACAATTTTAAATGAATTTTCATAGAACCAGCATGGTGGCGATCAC